AGTAGATGGCTTAATATTTCTTTCTGTCTGAATTTGTGTGATTCTGCCACTTTTGACTTGCTGAACCTTCCATTTCTGTGATGTTCATCTCTGAAAACTGAGTTCAGYCACTTTCTGCTTTAAGGAGAAAAGACTGGGCATTTATTGCCTCACCAAGAAGAAATTTGCAAGAAAATGCTGGTAGCACAGAGCACATGATGCAGCCTGTGTGCTCCACTGAGACACCTCTCCAGTCTCCAGGCTCTTCTGAGGAGCCAGCATGCAGAGAGGCTGTAGTGCTGAAAGATGACTTGACCTCAGTTACACATATGCTTTTACTTTAGAAACATAACTGTATATCAATACTGCAACTGTATATCAATATTGTATTCTTTTCTTTCTTGTATCCAGTGTAGTTTGAGCAAATTTTCATTACATKAAGTTTCTAGGGCCTCTGTCCAATAGCTATTTAAGATCATATGTGAGAAAAAACATCAATGAAACTGATACTGACAGCACTTCATCTGCTTTTTTACTAATTTTGCCCTTGAAGGTGGATAACACAGATGCAGAAGGAAGACTGCTGTTAGCTGATGCTCTCTGTTACGCCCACAATTTTAATGCAAGGTCTATTGTGAATGCTGCAACATTAACAGGTAAACAGTGTCCCTTCCCTGCTCCTTTTGCAAGKCAGTTTTTTATTACTCATTTGTTTGGCTGTGAATTAGCTTTGCTGTTGATTTTGAGTAGCACTGTGTATATTAACTCAACCTTAATTCAAAGGCAACTCATATGATTTGACATGTTGCAGGACAGCAGCAAGCACAGGTTTTGGGTCCCTGGAGTAGAGAAGGGATGTGCAGGGCAGGCAGGGAATGCACTCAGCAGTGGAGATGAAGTTGGGCTGGCCCAGCCAGGCTGAAAGCAAGATCAGAAAAACCTACACAGATTCAGTGTTTCTCCATAGTGTTTCCCTGTGCTTCTTCCATTTCTGTGCTAAACCCTCCTGGCTCCCAGGCCTGTGGGATGCAGAGATAGTGGCATGTTCATGGAAGAATCCTGCCTGGTCCATAYAGCACAGACCATGCAGGAGCACAGATAGGTTCCTGAATTTCTTGTGGAGTACCTGAGGTCTGACCTAGCCAGTGCCAGTTCTCCCACTATGTGAGCTAGCTCAGGCCTCTCCAACAACAGAGTCATCATCATCTTTCCAAGAATTTGTTTGACTGAAGTACCTATTTTTGTGCAGTTTGCATAGTTTTAGGCATTATGAAATGTGTTTTAATTGTTTCATCTCTACAGCTGCATAATAATGAACTTGTAAATTTAAATTTAAAACCAGCAATTGTGTATGCAGCTCATGAACTCGTTAACAAGCTGTCACGGGTGAGGTGACTGTAGCTGAAATAAAAGCAAACATGGAAGAGTAATTCAGACAGGACTCCACKGTGTTGTTTAATGAATATACTAAGCAAAATAATTACGCTTATATAAATTCCCTGCTAGTGCTTCAAATTATGTTCCATCRGTTTTACCAGTTCAAATGCTGTGGAAAATTTCAATAGACAGAAGGGAAACTGATTTTAAGATAGTTGGCTTGTATGAAAGTATTCCCATCTGGGATCCTTGAGCACCAAGCAGGAAGAAGGAGGGCTCCCATAAAAATTTCTCTGRCATATTTTGTTAAACTACTTTTTTTGTTTTTTCATCTCACTGAGGATTGAGTGTTGGTATTAGAGAATCAGTTCTCAGGCATCAAATAGATAAATATGTATGTAATCCCATGGTTTAATATTTTGATAAGGATTATTTTAATAAAGTAAATATTTMATAAAGTATATTTACACATGATGTGCAAAAATCTATGTAAGTGAAATTCACAAAAGTGAGAGTATCAGCTCAAAAGTTATAGAGGTCTATAAACTGGAAAAAGTCCACTCACTTGTATTTTCTACATGAAAATAATATCTAGATTTTTTTGAGGATGCATACTGTTTAATACATTATCTTAGAAATATTTCTAAGAAACATCAAGCTGAAATCAGAAAATTCATTGTTTCATGGAAACAATATAATTTTATGATTTCTTATGGTTCTTTGAATATATAAATATTTTACAAGTGGTCAGACTTCCAAAACTGTGAGTGTACTAAAGTCTTCAGGTTTTGCCTTCTGATTAATTGCTGTTACTAATAATGGGAATAAAAGATGGAAAGTTTTGTGAGGAGTCAGGATGCAGGGAATAGCTCAGGTCACCTTTGCCTTTGTCATATAAACTTGAAGATGTGTTTCTTTAGGGGCCATGGATGTTGCATTGGGATCTGCTGCGACTGGAGTGTTCACAAATTCATCTTGGCTTTGGACTCACCTCTATGAGGTAGGCCACCTGCATTATTATTAAATCATAATAGTAATAATTCAGTGATCCATCTTATTGAAAAGATAGTACAATACTGAAAGTCTTTATGCAAATCTGAAAGATGTTACTCCATTTTTAAATTTTAGAGGAATGATAGCAGTTYTATATGTACTTGAAAATAATTAATGTTGACTATTAATTAGTAGCTCTTCAGTGTGATGTAATATCATACACCAAACTGATAACTGATACCATACACCATTCTGATAACTAACTGCACATGCATAAGCTCTGGACTACTGGCCATAATTAGTTCATGTTCAAAAGATGATTGATCTTGCTTAACAACACTGAGACATGAATTCAGAGAGGTCTTGTGAGTGGCCAAAAATCTAATATTGTATTGGGCTGAAGATTTTTAGACTGAGAAAACCTAATCAAAAAGAAGCATGCAAAAGAAACTTGGGCTTATAAATGCAATTTAAAAAAAAACTTTAAAAATTACCCAAACTATCATTGTTTCTTTTTCAGGCCAGCATTTTGACAGGGGACAGAGTTTGGAGGATGCCTCTTTTTGAACATTACACAAAACAAGTAACTGACTGTCCTCTTGCAGATGTGAGTAACATTGGAAAGTACAGCAGGTAAGATGAACCAGTATCTTTCATGTGCTCCTTTCTTTCAGCATATTTATTTAATATGTGTGCTGTTGGAGTTGCTTTAGAAACAATACATTTTTCTGCTTCCCACAGAGCTGGAGGAGCATGCACAGCTGCTGCATTCCTGAAGGAATTTGTGACTGCCACTCACTGGGCTCAYTTGGATATAGCTGGGGTGATGTCCAATAAAGATGAGGTGCCCTATCTTCGGAAGGGCATGGCMGGGCGGCCCACAAGAACACTCGTAGAGTTTGCAGCTCGATTAAGTCAAGACAGTCACAATGCCAAATAAAAATACTTATTGTAAAATCATCCACTCTGCCTTAAGGAMAAAAGACTTAAAAGGTATTATTCATAAATGAATGCCCCAAGGATATTTTCACTATGGCATTTAACTAAAAATGCATTTTATAAATTAATACTTGGGTAAGAATATCTCAACTTTGAGATTTGTCATCCCATATTATGCAGCTTAAAATAAAAATTATTCTGTTTGAGCTACAGAGATATTTAATACAAAGCATGATAATGGAAATTATCAACATGCCTATTTTATATTTAAAGTAGGCACAATTATTGTAAATAATAAATACCTTGTTTGGATGTGAGTTTTGACTGAAAGAGAATAATCAATAGATGACAAAAGTGTCTCAGTTTTGCGTGAACTGTAGGTGGTGTGAATGCTATGTCTGCAAAGTTGTTCATAAAAACACCATTCTGACATTYTTTCCTTGAAAAACCAAACTGCTTTTGGTATGAACTGAGGCAGAAATTATGCTGCATCAGACATTTTAGGCTGTTGCAATTAGTGTGATTAGCATGGCTTCAGCACAGAATTAGGTAGTAAGTTCTGAACATGTCAACAAGAGTGTAACTCTTTTAAAGAAGGGTAGTGAATGCAAGTTTGTCTTTGTAGAGTTTTTGGGGAATCTGCCCTCATGTCACATGCTTTTTGTCATCCTGATTCTTGCTTTCTTTCCTGGTGTGACATGGCCACACCCCAAGCAGGGACAGTATTCCCAGAATCAGCTCAAACATGAAACAGACCTGACACAACATGGGGTGATGTTTTCTTGACACCTGCGGGGATCCATGCCCATCGGGTGGGGATTTGTTTTGGTTCAGGGTGGGTTTTTGGCTTTTTTTGTTAAAAGCTGTTGTGGAGCAAGTGCTGTGGAAATGGTGCTTACCCAGGCTGGGAGGTGAGAGACACAGGCAGGGCAAAGGCTGGAGGCGGAGGGTGCCGCGGGCAAGGATGGGTTTGCCATCTCTGCTCACCTTGGTAGCAGCAGGGTCAGTGGTGTCCTGGGGCGGATCAGGAAGAGTGGGGCCAGCAGGTTGGGGGATCAGGTTGGGCCAGCAGGTTATCCTCCCCTCCCCCTCTGCCCTAGTGAGGGCTTTGTCCACTTCTGGGTTCCTCTGCACCAGAAAGACATGGAGCTATTGCAGAGGGTTCAGCAGAGGGCTACAAAGATGATAGCGGGGTTTGGAACATCTGTCTTAGGGGAGGAGACTGCAGGAGCTGAGTCTCTTTTATTTGGAGAAGACTCAGAAGGGATCTCATCAATACATTAAAGTACCTCTAAGACAGGGGCCAAGAAGACGGTGCCTGACTCTTCAGTGGTACCCAATGACAGGACAAGTAGCAATGGCCATAAACTAAAACACAGAAAGTTCCATTTCAACATGAGGAAAACCTTCTTTACCTTGAGATGGGCAAAGCATTGGAACAGGCASCCCRGGGASGTCGTGGAGTCTCCTTCGGAGATTCCAAATCCAYCGGACGCGTTCCTGTGTGGCCTGCTCTAGGSGGCCCTGCCTTGGCAGCGGTGTTGGACGGCATGATCTGCAAAGGTCCCTTTCCCGGCTGGCTGTTGATTCTGCGATTAAGGCGAGCTCGCTCCCCTCAGCGGCCCCGCAGCCCTCACGGGCGGGGCGGTGCCGATCCCGATCCCGAGGCGGGGCCGATCCCGCCCCGCTCCCTGCGCATGCGTGGCCGTGGCTCTCGCCATGGCGGGCGCGCTGGGGGGAATGTTCGGCTCGCAGGCCCCGGGGCCGCCACCGCCGCCGGGACCGCCCGGCCCGCCCGGCCTCATCCCGCCGCCCGCGGGGCCGCGCAACCCCAACAACACGCTGGTGGACGAGCTGGAAGCGTCCTTCGAGGTGAGGGGGGGCAGCCGCGGGCGGGCGCTGCCTGCCGGCGCCGGTCCCCCGCAGGCGCTCAGCGCGCTGCTTCCCTGTCCCGCAGGCCTGCTTCGCCTCGCTGGTGAGCCAGGACTACGTGAACGGCACGGACCAGGAGGAGATCCGCACCGGTGAGCCCGGGGAGGCGCAGGGGGGCCCGCTCCTCGGAGCAGTGGCACGAAGGAAACCCACCCGGGCATGGCCGGGGTCTGGTGGGAAGATCTGAGGCTCAGAAGGTTGGGTGGGGTTATACTGGCGTGCGGTGAAATGCGGGTTTCAAACATCAGGGAGGAGACGTGATGCATTCGGATCTGCACGAAACAGTAACAGTGGGTGGAAAAGGCCAGGCCAGGTTGTTCAGTAGCGGTGCTTCAGGGCTTGAGTGATGCACCTCCGTCCAGGCGGAATAAATGCSGCATGAAAAGGAGCTTGAAAAGTGGCCCTTGACTACGCCTTAGAAGTGCACCTGTCCCTAAAAATTTTTTGTRGCTTCACTCAAGTGGCATTTCAAAACCAGCATAAATGCTTTTCAAAACTTTATGGATATYTGAGGATGTGGATGTTCATGTGCTGGCATGGAAGAGCTTTTATTACCAAAACAGCAGTGTGTAGAATATGGAGGCAGAATGTTCTTCTCAATATGTGCATATTTTAGGGCCCTACACTGAGTTTGTTGCTCAGGCATGCAGAAGTGTTTTCTTTATTCAACCAAGTTCCATAAATTATTTTATTACTCCTTATCATTGTCAGAAATATAATAAAACTTGGAAGGAARTGTTCTTCTCCTGCACTTGTAAGTTACAAGTTTGCAAAGCAGTGTTTTGTGCAGAGATGTCATTTTAGATATTCTGAAGATTTTCTTTGTAGAAAATACTGTGAAAAATTTTTAATAGACCACTACCGTTACCAGCCTGAAATTCTTTTTTTTTTTTTTTTAAATCTGTTCTTTCAATATTGTTATTATATGTTTAGGTGTTGATCAGTGCATCCAAAAGTTTTTGGATGTTGCAAGACAGACTGAATGCTTTTTTCTACAAAAAAGACTGCAACTATCAGTCCAGAAACCAGAACAAGTAATTAAAGAGGTATGTTAATTTACCTGTCTTGTGCTAAATCAGGTAGGGTATGTACCTGAATCATCTCGTTCACATCAATTTTGGGTTTCTCAACATGATGCTGTACCTTAAGTTTGTAGAACTTGACTGTTACAATAACTCTCACCATGAACCTGGGGAAGCTGGATGCTGCTTTGTGGACTGTTAAAACACAGCTGATAATTCATTGGAAGAGACTAACTAGTTAGTTTGATTTTACTGGGGGTAACAATCTCTGACATGTGTGACCTCGATGAATTGCACTAGTGCATTCACAGTGATTTTCCTCTGTATCATTAGACACTTTTCTGTTATTCCACTTTTCCACTGTAAGGTCAGCTTGAAAATTCAAGTTCTAAAAAAGTTACATGCTCTTTATGTGAGATGGTTATTCTTAGGAATATTATCTCTTTACTAATGCATAATTTTTTCATCCATAGGATGTCTCAGAATTAAGAAATGAATTGCAGAGAAAAGAAGCATTAATACAGAAGCATTTGAGTAAACTGAGACACTGGCAACAGGTGCTTGAAGACATCAGTGTACAGCACAAAAAGCCTGCAGAAATGCCTCARGGTCCATTAGCTTACCTGGAACAAGCATCTGCAAATATTCCTGCTCCAATGAAGCAAACATAATCTTCACTTTTACACAGTTCAGTATTTCAAAAGCAATGGTGTTCTTTATGCTTTTTGTATAATGTAATTTGTACTGCAAATACAKTTTAAACAATTAAGCAAATAAATTATCTTCCTTTTATTACAGAAGTGTGGATTGTTTTTATGTTTCAATGGAAAATATTCAGAGTAGCTGTTCAGGGTCTTTCTGGTAGAAGTGTGTCTCCCAGAATGCATCCTGTTCCTTCTAGAGGGGGTGGCCCTTGCACTCCACTTTGTCTTTTTGGTCCGATCAAAATATTTGCAAAGATTAGTGTTTGATTTTACYGGACTACTTAAATGTTAATTATCAGTGAGTACAAAGGAGTACCACTGCAGAAACACCCTTAAAATTGCCTGTAAGTAGGTCAGACCACTTTTTTCAAAAATGAATTGTCATTCACTGGAATTGCTCACCTCATGGAAGGTGTCTTAGGATATACAAAAATTTGGTTTTTACAGGATGAACTGAAATAGAAAAATGCACACAAAAAAGTGGGATATGCAATGCAGGACTAATGTTACTGATGTTCTCAGGCTACTGTAGAGGTGATCCAAAATACCTGTCCCCAAAATAAAGACTACTTACTGTGGAGGAAGGGTCACCAGCACTGTCCAGTATAAAGAATTAGCTTCTGTTGCAGAGTTTTATTTAGTAAGCTAAATTATCCAAAAAGGTTTTGGAGGTAGCAATGGCAAAAGACATCTCTCTATGTTTTACTAGGCACCAAATTTAATTCATCCATGTAACCAGGAAAATGACTTCTACACCTACCTTTTGGGAGGCAGAGTTAACTAATTATTTGTTGTAACCCTGGAAATAAGAATTACTAATTGTGTACTCAGATTCTAGTGTTCTTGGGGCAGAGTGGATCAAAAGTAATTAAAACAGCCCAGTCCATTTCCATGCTCACAGATACCAAGGCACCCTTCAGTGTTACTGTACACTRTTTAATCTCTGATTACAAGTATGAAAATGCCTTTTTGCCAACTCTAATGCCAAAGTCACTTTTACAACCAAGCAGTTCCTCCTGGGAAAAATACCAGGTAAATGGGATGAAAAGTATTAGCCTGTAGAAGTGTTCTCCCTTTCTTCCACCTTTGCACCACCAGTGAGATGSAGTGGTTGTTTTGTATGAACTGTTTGCATCTATTAGTGCAGCTCTTGCTGGCTCTTGGATGTAAGAAGAGGTTAGGTCGGACTTGAAAATTTTTTTCGGTAGCTAGGCCCTGCTGGTCGAAATTTAAAGGGAGATTCAAACTGTACAGCAATTGAAAAGGAACTATCCTCTGTATTAAATACCAAGCTCCTGGTTGTGCATTTCCCTGCCTTTCACACTTACTGGGTTAATTACCCAAGAGTTAACTTCTTCATAGATTCTTTCCTCCCAGCAAAGAGTTAGCATGATCTGATAAATGTAGTCATTCCCCCATTTTGCATTTAGGTGGGCACAAAACTAGAGAGATAAAAGGTATAAGTAGGTGGGTTGCCATCCTTCTGGAACTCAGTGTATGAGCCTGACTCACTTCAACATAACATAGCACTCTTGAAAAACATAGAAATTGGATCATTTACAAGCTTTAATGTTTATACTTACACATCATCTTAATTTATCGGGCTGATACATATATTGAAATTCAATGGGAATATTACACAGCAATGATGATCATACAAAATAATTCATAAAGCAAACCAGAAATTGTTTCTAAACCAGCCTGCTATAAACATGCTATTTTTTGAAGGTGTACCACATGCTGTACAGGTTAAAATTCATTTACCAAAGAGCATTAAAAACTTTTAAAATTACATTATTATATGCAGAACTTACTTTAAACAGCTGATGAAGCAAATATATAAATGTACAGAAGTAAGATCTTTTTTCAGCTGGTGCCAAACTGAAGGAGGTATCAGAGTCCATATTGCATTTTTAATGAAATTGTTGAGTTGTACAGTCTCTTGATTAAAAAGTCTTTTCACATAAGTATCCAAGCTCTTGCTTTTTCTTCATTTTTTTACAGAAGTTGTTAAAATTCTGAAATTCATGCCTTGTAACTCCCTAGTTATYAGATGTAAGAGAGTATAGGTATTCCTAACTGTTTACTTAGAAATTACATGTTTTTTTCCTTCCCTTAAATCATCTATTGGATTATAATTCCTGAAAAGAAAACAGGAATGACTCCTATAGTAATTCTGAGTATGGAAATAGTTTGCTTTAAAATGAAAAATACTTAGTAAACCATTCTTGTTGCTGAGGATCTTGTTTTTGGTCATCTTTATTTTGCGGTGGTTCATTGCCGTGTGTCCTGTGTAAACAAACAAGCATTAGCTTCACTGACCTACTAACTTACAATCTTATCAATATGCAATACTTTTCACAGAAAAAGTCATGATCCTTTTAATGGTTCTGTGCTCACATGAATGCATGAGGCCAAAAKGTGCCAGCTACAATTTTAGTGGGATCTGTGCCATCCAGGTAACTGGATTAGCATCTCTGCTAGTAMGATGAAGAAAAGTGTGAGGCAGAGCTAAACAGCTATGGAGAAACATTTAAACATAGTTCTTAACTTGACATTCCAAAAAATAAAACAGAAGGATGCTTCAAGAATATGAAGTCTTGAAAATCAGAGAAYGGCAGCTGCAATTCACTCTTAGAAATATGGAATACAATTTATGCATGAAAAATGTGGGTTAAAAGTTATATTTCAAACTGAAAGATATATCTAAACACTACTTGGCATTCATAATCAATCCTATTACATAGTCCTTGATTTTCTATCACTCAGGATTTTTTTAACATATGATAGCAAATAGGACTTAACTTATGACTGGCTGTTTTAAAAGAATTAAGTGAGTAGCAGCCAAGCTACCCTCAGTCTCTGTGTTCATTTGTTTTCCTTTAAAACAGAAATCTCATCTCCCTTGGCAGCCATCTGGCATGACACAGCATGTTTGTATCTTTAAGATGTGGGAATTGCCAAACAGGAGCCAAGCCTGTCCCAGGTTTTGTCAGCAGTCAGCACCATCTGCCCCCAAGGAAAGAACTCTCTTGCACATAATTTACAGGATAATTAATCACCAGTAGATAGATGAGAAAGGTGGAATTTGTCCTGAAAAATGGTATTCATTCATTGAAAAATGTCCCCCAAATGGTATTTGGGGATTTTTTAATTGTATATTAGCTACATACATTTTTAACTATTTCTTGAAAAAAAAGAGTTCATGTTATAAAACATTGAATATTGTTTAAATGTTCATGCAGAATTTAAGCTCTTTGGAGAGAAAACAAAAAAGTTTAGTTAAGTATCTGCTAATCAGTTTTTAAGTCTCTAACCTTTGCCAAATGGGAAAGATTCAAACATTTCCTAAAATAAAAAACATGCCATCTACATCTTACCAAGTGCAAGGTGAGGCAACAAAAATAAGATGGAAGACACATCCTTAACAGAACTAYTGACAGATGCCATGTTCACAATTAACTACATTCATAGTTTAATACTTGCAACTCCTTTTTTTGTTTGTTTGGGTTTTGGTTTTTTAGGTTGGYTGGTTTGGTTTCATTTGTTTGGTTTTTTTCTACCAGGAGGGATTGCAAGCATAAACTCTGCTGAGCAGGAATCACAGCCTACTTCTGCASTAAAGGTTTGTGCCTGTGTGCAGAAAACCAAACACACAGAGTTTACTGCACAGTAGGAACCTTACATCATTGTGTATTTCCAAATGTCTAATGTGTTTGAATTGCCTGCAAAGATTCTAAACAGGAATTCATTTGTCATCATACAAAATGGACAAATACCTTGTGGCAGCACTGCTGTCTGAGGACTGTGCTGATGGAGAGCCCACCCTGAGGCAGCCAGGACTCCGGTCTAAGCTTGTAGATTTTGTTATTTGAGGAGCACTTCTTTTTGATCTCAAGTCACAGTTCAAAAAGCTCTTTGCGTAGGAAGCTAAATTCGGAACACTGACAACACGACTGGGCACCTCAACTGTTTTCTTCTTCTGCTTTTTATTGTAACAGAAAACTTCATTACAAACACATTTTTTACAATTTATACTATAAAATCTCAACAATATCTTATTCCCAAATGTCTTGTGAGGAACAACCAAATACRAAGGTTTCTATCTTTTTCTATTGGCATTTAAAATTAATTCTCAGGGTATGCTGCAAGTATCCATGGATTTTGTTATCCAATTAAAACAACTTGTGTATTTGAGCCAAAGATTTTAGACACATTAAGGTGCTTCCCACCRATTTAACCTCCCTTCTTTCTATGGCCATTTGTAGAGAGTATCATGCAGAGGGGCTGGAATGACCAAGGGCAGACACCAAGCAACTCACCCAGATACATAATTTTCCTTGATGCATGCAATATTCCAATTAGCTACTCCAAATCTGCAAGCAATGGCCATGCTTATCCCAGCAAAAGACTGAGGTTGTCAGAGTTCTACTGTTTTATATTGGCTTAAACACCTGTAATCTATTCTGCCTATATACTTCCACTGAATTTCTCTTATGCTCAACAACTGACTGTAGGTTAGCTTACTGGAAAGAATTCTACTAAATAATATTATCATAAAAAATTGAGAACACTTTTATTGTCCTGATCGCCTCTATGATCCAAATAGTAATAAAACCAATCATGATTTGTGATTTTAATTGCATTGCCTATCTTACCTTCATGGAGGGAGTCAAGCATACTGTATTAGGGTTAAAAGAAAATGACCGATTCCTGTAAGAGTCAGCGTTGGCTGAAAGTGAATGCTGACATTTTCTTCCTTCCTAAATGGAAACAAAGTTATGTGTATGGAAACATGTATTTGTTGGAAGCTGCTATGGAAAGATACATTTGTCAAACTTTTCCAGAACAGAAACAATCAATATGAAGCAATGTGTGAAACACTGAATTGAGCCTTCCAGCAGATTCTAAAATATGTACGTACATATAAAAGGCGACCTTACCACCAGCTGCTTGATAATCTCTTCTTTCTCACTTAATTTGTCTTGCAGACAGTTTATAAGGTGTGTATCATCAGACCTGGACTCCCACTTTCTTGACTTTTCTTCTAATTCATTAAGTCTGTACCAAAGAAAATACAGACCAGATAAAAACTTTCTCAGATCAGGTTCAAGAGACACTTGGGTTGTACTCTGCCCAAAATTCCCAGCCTACAATACAGGGACATAGCCAGGCCTTTCTGACAAAGCAGCGGTTTTTTTTTTGTTGTTGTTTTTTTTTTTTAAATGGACATTTGTATATGGTTTATGTAGAATTGTCTGAAGTTCAAAAATAAATTGCCAGGGTTAATCCACAACACCTGTCCAGTGTAAAATCCAGCCSGTGTAAAATAGTAAGAAGCTTGCACATCATGTTGCTACTCCAGTTTCCTAAAGAAAAAAATCTCTCACAGTACCTATACATACATTTATTTGCTCTCTTTTCTGACCCAGTAACTTTAGAATTCTCAGAAATACACAATTCCTGAGGAATTTCTCAATCCTGAGAAATACTCAATAACTCTCAGGAAGAGAGGCTTGGATATACATGCTGCTTTAGTGAACCTGGTAAGTCAAAACCTGTAGTCAGAGTTCAGCTTTTTAAATTCCTTAATCAGGGAAAAATACTCAAATGCTAATTGCACATTTTTAGACATGGTGTGGAAACACACATTTGWTTGACCCACGAGAACACAAGTCATTATTTCATCAGCCAAGTTCATGGATTTTGTTGTTTGAAAAACTAAATGCTATGAGTTCACCYGCCATAACCAGGACACATACTGAGAAATGTATTACAGAATACAAACCACCTTTKTTTGGGTGGGGGAGGGGGGATTATTTGCAGGCAAACATTTTTGAGAGGACCACCCCTCACACTTATCTTATTTAAAGATAAATCTTTACATCTGAGAGGTTTAAATGTTAGAGACCTGCTTACATGCAAGGTTTCTCTTCTGGACCTCTGCTACACAGTTGGGTTAAAAGGACAAGGGATATATATATATATATATATATATATATATATATATATATATATATATATTGTTTTGGAGGGGTCTCTCCTGTACTGTCTGAAGCACCATACAACTACTTAATGTCACAGGGGGCTGCAAAGTGCATTTATTTACATGAGCAAGTGGGGGCTTGTTGGAAATTTTCAAGGGAGGGAGAATGGGGTTAAAAAGCTTTTACTCAAAGATGCTGCTCTGCTGAACAAAATTAAGTTCAAGATCATGGATCAAGGCCTCTGGTATCATCTGTGACAAAGGTGATTTTACATTTCATAAAACTTCTAGATCCTACACACAATTTTTAATTTAGTATTGTAAAACTCCACGTATAGTGCTGTGGATTAAACAATATCCAAAATTTATTACAAAGTATCTAGGTCTGTTTGGTTTGCAAAGACAATACCTATACTTCTATTTTAAGCCTCATAATATTTTATTTTTGATTAATACAAAAACTGTACATACTAAGAATAACAAATTCAAACAGAACTCATTGGCAGCATGAGCCAGAGTTTATTTAAATTACTTACGCAGTTTCTAAGGAGAAAATCTTTGCTTGGAGATGTGCCTGAGTGCTGCTGAAATCAGATAATATGTTTTCAATTTCCTTCCGGTGATCTCGTTTCAGTATGTCCAGTTCTTTTTTATGYTTGATATTGAGGTCTTCTACCAGTAGCCTTTTATTGGTATTAAAATATGTCTGAATTCTCATGTTTCCGTATTAGTTGWTTATTATTGAACAAAGCATGCTGTTTTGAGGGATTTTATTGGTRGCAAAAGTAGTTAACCGGGAAAAGATCTGGCTTGTGCCTAGTGCTCTGACTTTGAAATTTTGTTAGCAATCTGAGAAAAAATGTTTTAACACTGATGAAGAGAAAAATAATTTTGAAAAGTACTTGACCTTCACCATTCAGGAAGCRGAAGACCTATTCTGTATAATGATGATATTGATATTCTGGCTAGGGTTACTTTGTGCATAAATCCTAATAATAAAACACGACAAAATACCACTGAAGGTACTTATATAAAAAACTTACTGGTATTAAGCAAAATTATGTTGAAATATCTGGGATCTCATGATAACAGAAACATTTAATGCTTCCTATCATCATCCTAAGAATATTTTTTTAAAGTCAAGAAATGTTGTAATGATGCTTTTAACTATAACATTTATCTTTTTCAGWCAACATATTTTGAAAGATACTGCTATATGATTAACACCATAAACTGAAAACTAAAAAATGCCTAACATTTTCTCAAGACTAACYGTTACCATTGCTTTCTAATCCCAATCCCAAAAGCAACAGATATCTATTGAAAAATGATAGTTTGGGTTTTGTCTGCTAATGCTTTGTTAAACCTTGGAGAAACCTTTTCATTAACCCAGTTGAGAGCCTGTGTTCTATGGTTTAAGGATTAAAATAGAGATGCTCAACTTAGAATATTAACAATTGTAATTTTCACAAAAGATATTCAGTTTACCTTTTGTTTTCCCTTTTTTTCTTTCTAACGTATTGCCAAGCCTATTTCACTTGTTTCAGAAAGACTTCAAGAAAGGCCAAAAGGTTTCTCTCCATGAAATTAAGAGCACAACCATGGGAGTGACTGATTTGGCATTTAGCATAACATAAGAAGCAGAAAAACAAAGGTAAAAAAGGGAGAAGAATTCCTGAAATGAACCTCCAGGAATAGAATATTCTCCTTCAGAATAGCCATTTTGGGACTTGTTTTCTCTTCCCATAAAAACACCTTTGTCTTCACTCATCCTAATCCTTGTAAACATTTTCTGAACTGGAGGTGGAATTAACACAATTCAAGAGAATCAAAATGGGAATTTTTACTTCAAGCAGATTACTGGTTTCAATTACTTCACAAGAGTAGGACTAGTAACTTTGAGTAATTTATTACAAAAATTTCCACATGCAAATAACGAGCCACTATCAGCTTTTAAAATGGAAAAGAAACTATATGGCATAAGACAGGATCACTATTGTTAAAAGTAAAAGCAGCAGATACTTATCTGCACCAATTTAACTATTCCCCTACACAAATTACTAGTCCTKCAAAAGCAAAACAAGAGCTGCAAGTTAAGGTTCCAGGTCTTCCATGGGTTAATTTCAGAGCAGTCTATATCAGGTACCTAGGTCCACTCCAGTGCTTTGGTTCTAATTCYATTTATTTGAAGGATTTCTCCTTACATAATTTCCATTAATACTTCTTTCTCAAATGCTGACTGTAGTAGAGCTCACCATTTACTCCCTGTAAAGAAAATCCTCCAGCCCAGCAGCCTTAGCATTTGAGGCCTTTTAGACCTCATTGCTGATACGTGAATAATTCTCTTCATGAACAGWGACTCTAAATTCCTTCAAGGTAGCTGGAGGGCATTGATGAAACTCTCTGGTTTGCAATTCTCTCTGTTGATCTTGCTTCAAAAGCTTGAAATGAAATTCACTTTGAAGTAACTCTCCAAAGAGTTCAATGGCAAAAAAAAAAAAAAAAAAAAAAAAAAAAAAAAAAAAAAAAAAAAAAAAAAAAAGGTTTCTCATTCTCTTTAAGAATCTACTGACTGGTAGACAGGAATGGAATTATTTTGGCCACTCTGACAGTCTGCAAAGAGATGTTCTATCCACTGAGTGAGTTTCTCTAGACTATACGGGCCACAATTTTGAAGATTCCTTTAAGGACACACTCTTCAGAAATCCTTTTATATGTACAGCTTATGTGGTTAGGGGCATACATTTACACCATTGCAAAAATGAATTGAAAGGTAACCATGCACCAGATCCCTCAGTCTCTCTGCAAAGAGAATGTGTTAAGTATGTTCATCCATAAATTTCAAAGGATTCAACAGCCATACAAATGCAGTGGGCAGTGAACTCAGTCTTGTCTCCTTTGTAAGCTGTGCCAGGGTAAGTTGAGGTTGGACATTAGAAAGGATTTCCCCAAAGGAGGGGTGATTAGACATTGGAATGGGCTGCTCAGAGAGTCTAAGGAAAGACTGGACATGWCACCCAGTGCCATGGTCTAACTGGCACAGTGGTGTTGGTCACAGGTTGGACTCGAAGATCTCAGAGGTTTTTTTCCAACCTAATCGATGCTGGGATTTCACTTTTTCGCAATTCTGCACCATTGGGAAGACCCATTTGCACCACATGTGCTGAGCCTGTGACTACACTAAGACATGGTCCACCTCCTACAAGACAGCCAAGACTACAAATCATCTGGCCCCTCCTGTGCCCTGACAGCTTGTCACAGTGCCAGGCTCACTATCAGCCCAGAGGCACTGTCAGTGTCCCCTCACACTGCCCTTACTTCCCCTGTTCAAAGCTGGCTGCTACAGCCAAAGCAAATTCTTACAGRGTATATATGGCATTCTCAAGTGGTGCCTTCACAGTTAACAGTCCACAAGTTTCAGCTAAAGAGAGTATGTATGAAAACCTGATATTTATTCTCAGAGACTTTTATATTTTTTGAATAGTTCTTTAATGAGTTTAGGATTTATGTCTTCCAGTGCCTTTCAAAGGCTGACATTATGCAGACCTTCTCAGGTCACTCCTGTGGGGATACACTAGACATATTTTTCTGTGACATATAATGAACAATTAGTTCAGATGCCTCTATTACGGCTGGAGGAAAAAGTGAAATGAACTACTTCTTTTGCAAAATTCCTAGCTTCTAAAATTAATACTTTAGAAAGGAAGAATTCTGATAGCATTACACTTGGAACACCACTTATGCTGGCATTATTACTGCATGTATAGATAGCRTCAGGTGCGAATTCAAAGCAAACCTTCTATGCTGTTTTTCTCTGTCCTGAAGGTGTGCAGCTTCTTGCTTCTGTGACTCCAACTCAGCACTGAGTAACTCCATTGTGTCCTTCAAAAGTAAATTTTCTTTCTTGAGTTCACAGATTTCACTCTGACATTTTTCCAGTTCATCATGAAGAGATCTGATCTGGCTTTGGCTACTTCCTTCCTAAGAAAAAGGCCAAATTTAGTTATTCACAGCCTCTTATATTGCTGGAACTGTGTGCATTGAATTTTTGTGATCTGATTTTTCTGTTAAATGTGCCATGCTACATATGTGCAAGACAAAATCTGTGAGCAAAATCTCCTGAATATATTCTGTAGTCTCCATAGTATTTATTTTATTGTAACATTCATTCATTTACTTCTGTTGTAGATTCTGATCTTTAATTGGAAAGGAAAATACTGCCAATAGGGAAAAAATCATATACATTTAAAGTGAGACAGAAAGAAAAAAAACCATTCCATCTCTGTAAGAGACTGCACACTTTTGTTATTACTAGAGAGAGAAATTTGACTCTATTGCTTTTGCTAAACACAGCATGTCAATGAAGTACAAACTGGTCTCTTGCCTGTTGCTTCTTCAGTGTCCTCACACTCTTCAGCTCCATTTGTAGTTCTTCTATTTGTTTCTTTAGGTTTGTACATGCTGTCTGTTGCTCAGAAAGTTCCATTCTTAGAGATCCTAGTAACAGACAGACAATCATTTAGGCAGTCAGAGGCCAGCCGGATGGGGAAGGCAGATACAAGAAATGTAGATGAAAACATGAATGCATTTTGCTTTGTTCCTCAACTCCCTCCTCATTAAGCATAATGGCCTCCTATTACTAGAGAGGTAAGTGAGCTTGAGCCACAATAGCAATGATTCTGTGTTGGGGAGCGAGTTCTGTGAAAGTTGTACAGCAGACCCCATGATCACAATTGCTTCTTCTAATCTAGAACTTGACTGGGGCACCCCTGAGCTCCCCAATAATTCCACTGGTGTTTTACAGAGAGCCATAAGRGAGAATGAGGAGAGCTCCGGTTGTGTTAGAGAAGTACAATACTTAAGTAAGCTCATCTGTCAGATACTCCTATTTTTATGTATATTGGCTACAAGTTTGGGGRTGGATCAAGTACAAGGAGAAAGAAGTTTTTATCTCTGCTGTCTCCCAACAACTTTTCCTGAAGAAGTGAATCTTATCTATTGAATGTAAACCTTAGAGAGCAAGAAATCTTTCTGTCAAATTTTAATTACTAAGAAAAAAAAAAAAAGAAGAAAATTCAGTATGTACTTAAAATACTTTCAAATTATTCTTTCTTTAATTAAAAAACACTTTATAGATGAGCTTGAATAAYCTGAGATTAAACCTGTAGATATTACATGTTTTTCTAATGCTGTTTAGTCCTGAACAGCTTAGGGAACATTGAAAACTGATTAAGCAATACATAGGGAGCAACTGATCTCCTCTGCTGAACTTAACAGAATAGACTTGAAGCACATATAATAATTCTTCCCAACATAGAAAAATAAGTAAAGTCTATAAACTCACTTTAATTTTCCAGTGTCATATACCTCATAATACACACTTGAATGCTGTACACTAGAATACTCTCACAGCAACATTTTGCAGCTGAAAATTGAGGGCTTGGTTAACAAAGAATATTAAGTCTGTATTGCTGACATTGCAGGGTATGAAAAGAGAGATTCACAAAGACCTGAGTTTCCAGAAGAAGGGAAAGAAAATGAATGGAATGAAAGTCAGTGGTTCTCAGCATGTATATATAATCAAGCAATGGGAACAGAGCACACTTTACCTAGCAACAGGGTTTGCTGCTTCTGTATCTGCTCAAGTTCATCATGTAATTCTTTCTTTGCCTTTTCTTCCAAAGTTTGTATTTCCAGCCTATGAGACTGATGTTGGATCTTGAAAGTCTCATTAAATTCCTTTTTCAAACGTTCTTCTGCCTCCTGTAAGCAAAAGTTCCCCCCCAAAAACAAAGTAGTTGGAACTTATTTATCAGCTTGTTGCTTTCTTTGTAATGCTAGGATGGATCTATCCTTTCATTGTAGAACTTTAATTTTCATMACCCCTTTACAAGACACTTTATCAATGCCTGCATAAAAATGAACTGAAGTTAAAAATTAGCACTTAATAGATACAAGAGAAATTATCAGGATATAACTTCTTAGATTTATGTGTATGATGAAATAATAACACTGACATCTGCATTATTTGACATAAGAAAGTTTTACTATTCAACATACAAAGCCCCCAGATTTGACCTGTTTGTCATTAGCTATCATCACAGTGTGTCAGACAAAGGCTTCTATCTTTCCTTGTATCATTCTTGGCTCAAGCTTCCACTATCATTAAAAGTACTGCTGTACAGTACACTGTAAATGATGGAGCAGTTGCTCTTTAGTGGCTCTGAAAGCAAACTCCTGTCCTCAGTTTCATTCTTACCAACTCACTGCTTCAGCTTGTTTTTGCTAAAACTGGAATTTTATTTGGAATATATAACAAGATATTAAATTCTACTTAGGGTGGTTTTATTACCTATGTTTTATAAGGTTGTCTAAGCWGAGAGAATCAACAGGGACAGCTGAACTCCATGTCACAATCACATGCAATTTTTCAAGCTGATTTTTTCTCAGACAGCAACAGTCTTTAGAACCTCAGTATATTGCATTAACATTTTGTTACTGAAATTAATCCACTTGAACCTTTAAAAGCATTGGTTATCCACTTACTGAATTGATTTCTTGTATGTATATAAAGCAATACACATCAYTATATGTGTCTATTATACTTCTTAAGTATTTATGTATAAATTCATAATGGATGAAAAATAATAAAACTGAGGCCTGTTATTAATACATGCAGGAATTCCCTTGTATGTCTGAACTAGGGCCACAGATAAGGGAGCKTGTATTCACTGCAGCCTAACTTTAGGGTGTATTATTTTATGAAACATTTATTCATACTGTGGTCTACGTTAAAATGTTAAAATTATAAAAAACCAAAACAAAGCAAAAACCCCACAATCCACCAACCCCCCTGCCWCCCTTCCCAGCCTGATGATGATGAGGTTTCAAAATCACAGAATAATTCATTATGTGCAACAATGGCAACCCATAATTAGGATAACTGTCAATAACTGAGTTTTGAGTATTGGCTCTCATTAAAATGGTTTCTCCCATAAATATGATATTTTTTTACATCAGTATGTAGTAAACTGACCTTGAGCTCCTGATTCTTGCTTTTCTCCAACATTTTTAAGACTTTTTGGTGCGATGCCTCCAAGTGCAGTTTAACATTYTGGTTTTCTTTAATGCTGTTTTGAAGATCCTGCAAAAGTTTCTCCTTTTCTTTGTTGGACTGTAGATTATGTTTCTTCAGTGACTCCTTGAAATTATTTGCTTGTTGGTCTAATATTTGCTTCAGCTGAGCCACCTTCCAGAAAGTAAGTCAGCAGGATAGGATTAATGGCTGCTTTCACAATGGAGAGGAATTACGTAAAGTTGAGTATATTTTATGAGCATGTACCGCTTTATGAAAAAATAGCAAGATGCTTGTTTTGTGCAAGGAACCCTTGCAACACTTTTGCATATACTACCTGTCAAGTACTTTAAAAAAATTTCAAATCATCTCCATCTCATACCTATAATCCATAGTTCAATTTGCACAATAATAAGGCACAAACCAGAAGGTAGGCCTAAGGCTGTGCTGAAGCTATTCAACAAAACTGGTTTATTTAATTTGAAAGTGGACCTAGCTTTATGTGCCTCAAACTGTGGATTTAAGTTCACTATTCATCCAGTTGTTTCTTGGCTTCTTTTGTTATGATCCAATTAAACATATACACACAAAAAATTATCTGATCAAGCTAGTGAACAATAATTACAAAATACTATTCATAATGAAAAAGATTAATTGCCRTTAATATATCTGTGTAATGGGATCTATCTGTGGATTGGATACACTCCAAGAACGGGCAGATGCCAGAGGCACTTGCCAGCCATACTTTAGTTTCCAGAGCTGCTGAATTTTTTTTTTATTACTTAAAAAAAAAAAAAATCTGGTAAATCGTAAGATTTAATCAAAGGGGCACTTTGGCTTCTGGTTATAGGTAAAAAAATTACTTTGTCTTCACACCTCTTGAACTCAAGCCAATGCTTTCCTATGAAAAGAATGGAAACGCCGAAGTTTTTCAGGTACTGCTGTTCTTTATAAAACTAAATTTTGATGTGAAACACTTAATGCTGTACAGTCTTTCCTATCAGCTGACACAACATGCGTTAACATCACTACACTCAAGTATGCCTTTTTTGCCTGCGTTTCCTAGGCTTTACAAAAAAAAAAATGTGCCAGAAGAATAGACTATATATTTTACAACAGAAAAATCTGAAACAGGAAAAATGTCACTTGGAACACTTCTTAAGCAAATGAAACAGTCATCTGGGTAGGAAAGAAAACTATATAAACTTCATCTATGGTCACAACTATGGTCAACTCTTCACAGACAATTATTGGTTCAAAGCACTTCTAACATAAAACAAAAGATCCGACTAACTAGAAACAGGCTAAACAGCAAATTGGTAGCAACAGAAAAAACAATGTAGTAAGAAATCAGAAGGAAAAGTAGTTTTAAAACATTATTTTTCAGTGATTAAGGGKAAAAGCCCTACAGAAATGTATCAGGCATACAAACACACTCATGAATCCTGTTCCTTTGAACGTATTAGAAGTTAAGAAATTAAYTTTTCCATCCTATCAGGTTTCCTCCTCCTGTCTTGCAATTAAAAAGGCTTCCAAATCCACCAGTCAAAATCCTTTTCTGGAATGTTTTGTAGTGCCCAAATATATCATTGCATTTCCTGGCTTCCAAACAGATAGCCAGACCCTCAATCTGTTGAACCTGGTAAAGCAATGTTTAAGCCAATGAAACTACACCAACTCACATCAGTCCAGAATCTACTTGGATGATTTTATCATTAACAAACCAGCAACACCATGGGATTTTGTGTTTTATAATGTCTTCCTGCTGCAAAACAAAAGTTCTTGAAAAAACTGTACTTTTAATACCATTACAGACTGACTTTTATCCACTGGAATTGCATAAAGTGATCTTAGAGATGCAAACATTATTTAGCCACTGTATAAAATCAAAGCAGCAGTATCTTTTAGGCTCTGCTGAATTCTTTCCAAATTGCAGGGTTATGTTTGCACTTCACCTTTCTTACAATAGTTGATTATGCATTCCACTGTCTTCCAAGTAAAGTAAAAATGAGTAACTATGACTAAAAGATGACTGAAAATTCTGAAATATTTCAACAGTCTTTCAAGTTTCATTCTTTTCTAACCATTACTGTCCTTCTCTTGGATTGGATGGTTTGATTCTTTTGGAGAAGTATTTCTCAGAGTTTGATAGCCCATGGATAAAATACTTGGCAAATGTAAGGCTGCAAATGCCATCACAGTTGACTCACTGCTGCTCTGATTATTTAATTCACTGTGCTTGTAAGTACATTTTCTCAATGCATTGCTAGGGGAAGGATTTAACATAAAAGACTTATAATTGTCTTTTGAGGTAGTATAGATGGTCACTGCAACTGAGAATTTGTTCTGATTCAAAATAAGGCACCCAGATATCACCTATATATAGGGTTTTACACCTACTATGAAGCTATTACATCGTAACAGTAATATGGCAGAAGTAACAACAAAATGAAAAATTGTATTTTACTGGGGTTTTTTACTTATTTCAGAGTTACTTCAATTAAATTCACAATAAACAATCTTCCTAAACTTGTGGYAATTGACCAGAGCGAATAGTGTGAACACAGTCTTTGGCTGCTATTTGGAGATATCTCCAAGATCCATCAAAACTCTGGCCATGGCTGTGGTAGCATTGTTCAAAGATGTATCATGACAAGGTGATGCCTTGATGGGCACTTTCATTTTGTGTATCTTCTAATTTCAGAATAGAAGCACAGAATCATAGAATATTCTGATTGGGAGGGAACATAAGGATCATAGAAGTCCTACTCCTGRCCCTGCAGAGCAGCATCACCAGGAGTCACACCGTGGGCCCGAGAGCATTGTCCAAACACTTCTTCAGCTCTGCCAGGCTTGGTGCTGTGACCCCTTCCCTGGGGAGCTGTTCCAGTGCCCAACCACCCAGAGAAAAACATTTTTCTAATATCCAACCTAAACCTCCCCTGACACAACTTCAGGCCATTYCCTCTGTCCTGTCACTGGTCACCACAGAGAAGAGATCAGTCCCTGCTCCTTCTCTTCTCCTCTTGAGGAAGTTCTAGACTGCAGTGAGRTCTCCCCTCAGTCTCTTCTCCAGGCTGAACAGACCAAGAGACCTCAGCTGCTCCTCATAGGGCTTCCCCTCAACGCCCTTCACCATCTCTGTAGCCATCCTTTGAACACTTTCTAATAGCTTTATATCTTATATTGTGACACCAAGATCTTTTAACACATGCTGAAGAGATCCTGTATAGCAAAAGCAAGGATGCTAATCAATTAGCATTCAACCTACACAGGGTCTCATGTCTTTTCTTCTAAATAACTAAACACATGCAAGTCTATTTCTTGATTCACAAAAATCTTATTAATACAGAAATACTGCCACTTTGAAGTGCAACCCCAGAGAGATGAAATTATCATGCATCTATCTATTTTGCATAGTGCTGTAGCTATGTCAGTCCAACCAAAAATGGGTCTTAGGCAGCCAAGGAAGCTATTTTTAGATCTGAAATCGTATCCAGGTTAGAACTGGATTAGTAACAGCACATTACCTAACCTTTGAGGCGGAAGCTCTGGGCTGAGCCATTGCAAAGATTCCCAGCTGGGAATCGTGCCCTCAGTGAAACATAATGTTATACAGTAAATGGTGCTTTCTTGGCTGTGAATATTCATGTASCTATAGAGGGAAACTATTACAAGTTGAAACTACTTCACAGCCCTGGCAATACGGCCAAGTAATTTGTAGTTTGGAAAGTAACTTCTGGAGTAATCAAGAAAAATGCAAAATTTCTCTTCAAATGGATAATTTCCTCCTTTTAGAGAGCAGATAGATTCTAAGATACAATAAAATGTTTCTCATTGTATCTGTCCAAATCTACCATGGTGCTGTGAACATATGGCATGCTACATACTATTTGATATTWTTTATTGATATTTATGTTTATAGTKGCAATAATTTCCCGCCACTCTTTACCATGATCTTGTGATGTGAGCAGATGAGCAGTTAGAAAACAGTGGTTTCTTTCATATTTTACTCTCCTGAATAGTACTTTGATGACCTGCTACCTTACTTTTTGCATCTGCAAAACCTGAATAATTGCCTTCACTCTAGATAGGTCAACATAGGTTGGATTGACCTTAAATCCTCTCAGAAAAGAATCTGTAGGCAACAGTGGCATGCAGAAATGTGTAATGAAACTTAAAAATAGATGAAACTTTCAGAACATTAAATTACACTTAAATTCTGTATTCCTAAGATTCAGAAATAGATAGAACATCAGAATGTCACTGATAATGGAAAGTAAAAGTATGTTTTACAGGAGAAATGAAAAAGGAAAGCCCATGCTGCACTCACAACTAGTACAGCTAGTGCAGCACAGATGGGACAAAAACCAGGCATTGCATATCATAAATGAGCACAACACATGCCCTGATTGCTGGAACATGCACACCAAGGGGTAGTAATGGCACGTGGGATGGTGGAGGTAGTAGAGAGAGGACAACATTTTGCTGAGCCTCCTGATAAGCCTATCTGTCCTTTTTCTGTCTTTGAACACTCAACAAGAGCTTATTATGGCCCCTGAGAGTCTACAAATGTCATGTGAAGAAGATCTAGGTCTTCAGCTTTTGCAGAGTTGTTGCCATGCAAACACCCACTGAACTTGAGGGAAGCGAAACTGGTTACAATCAGTGAAGATACATCTCTATGCATTACAAAAAAAATCAGAACRTTAACAGGAGCTATAAGAAAGGTTCTAATCTCACTTTGTCCTATATACAAACAATCAGTCACCCTACAATCCTAATATAACCAAACTCCTCACCTTAGCACATCTCCAAAGAGTGATATATGAAATTTATCAAAAAAAATAGGCTTGTCAAAATCTTCATAGATATTGCTTCACAGAAGCAGTTATTTCCATTATTTTTATSTGGAGTCCTTGCATATTTTATTGAGTGATAGACACAACAAATAGTATTAAAATCTAATCCAGAATCTTTCAGATGGGATGAAAAATGAAGAAATGAAATTTTATTATTGCATTACATTTATGGCTAGTTTACCTCAAGTGAAGAGTTTTGAAGTTTCCCAGTTAGTACTTCTTTCTCCTTCTCTAGTTGCTTTAGTTCACACTCAGATTTTCTTTTAAATTCATCTAGCTGTGTCTGGAGCTCCTAAAATTAAAAAAAAAAAAAAAAAAAAAAAAAAAAAAAGAAACAAAAAAAACAAGAGCATGCAATAGCTGGGATAAAGCATGCAGCATGAAAAAGAACACATTTCTTCTACATTATCCTAGATAATACAGCAGTGTACACAATAGTACATGCTACTGTCTTTTATTGCCACTCATGTGTTATTCGATTTAAAAAGTATCAACAGTTTGGTTTGGTCCTTCCTATTCTAATATCAGTGTGACAACACAGTTCACATAATCTTAATCTTCTACTGAAAGCTTCCCTAAGATGTAAAACTGTATAGCATGAAGAGACTGTTTTGCCTTGAGTGGTGTTAATGTTCAAAAATAATTTAGTATGCAAGAGTCACCCACGAGGTCTGGAAAACCATAAATACACATTAGCCATATAAATAACAAGATCACTAACTAATGGGCAATTAAAAGAAAAGAGAATCGAATGAAGCAATATCTGATACCATCCTTAGAAAAAATCATAGTGAGGAAATAAAAATAAATTCAAATAATAATTTAAAAATGAGGATTATATAATCACCTTGTTGCACGAAATACTTCAAAAAATCAATTGTAACACCAGTTGCAAGGCAGTGACAAAGAGCTTGTAGCAATTGTTTGTAGCATTAGCAATTACTTATTGTAGAAAGAATGAAAGTGCAACTTCTAGAAACTTCCTGAAGTGATATGCATTACAAGCTTATTAGTGTGCTTGCTCTTCCTATTTGTGCCAATTTGCTGACTGAAAAAATATTCTACCATGTCTTCAGACACTGCAAATGATGGAAATAGGAAAAAAAAGCAATTTAACACCTCCCCCATCCTATACAGTTCCTTCTCACTCACCCCACCCTAGTTACAACTCAGTTAGAAATTAAAYGATGGAATTAAACAGATATGTGAATATTCTGAGGGAGAAATTARCCTTAGTTTTGCCTGTATAAAAGGGAGATGATATAACAATCTTTTTATTAAAATCTGAAGRTCAGGTGCAGCATTCCCACTTCAGCTCTGTCAACTGACTTCCTTCTCTGTATCGTAACTTTTCTATCTGGAAAAACAGATACAGTACTTCCTAAAAAGCTGTTACAGGCCTTAATTGAGTAAGAAGATAAAACCAGCATCAATAATGAAAAATATTATAATTTTATTTAAGTTTTACTAACTCAATATTTGTCTGATTAAATCTATATTGACCTCTAAGAAGATAATATAAGCAATAATATTTATTGCCTGTAAGTAATAAAGGTCTACTACTATGCCTTTTTTTCTGAAGTATTAACTGTTTGAKACCTAAATTCAATCTGACTCACTCAGCCTGGCATAATTTTAAGCATACATGTACAAGCTAATAATAAGTAGAATACACTATATAATAGGCAAAATCATTTTCATAAGGCTTCACTAGTGTAATTGTGTACCTTGAAGCACTGCATCTTCACATAATGATCAAATTTGAGCCCTTCCCAAGCAGATAAAAGAATGTATACTCACCCCGGTTCAATTTTGAGAAATAAGATTGCACTTTAATGCAAATTAATTCTTCTGACAAACACKAAACACAATTCCTAATCTCCAAGAACAGGCAGGTACAATCAAGCTCAACATTTAGGGACAGCAGCTTTTTATGACTTCACAACTTGTCAGTAAGTATTTTAWTATTCTCAAGTAAATGCTGAACTCAGAAAGTTGGAGCAGTGTTAACTGCAGAAAAATGGGTAGAAGCTCATTCTTAGCATCAAGAAGGGYCTCAAAACCACTTGACAAGTAGTCCGGTTGTCCCATTCTACAAACTGCTCAAATGAACCTTCTTTTCCTGTCTAGAAGATCTTTGACAAACACACAAGTCTTCCSCTTAGCTTGTGCTCAAATTTAGCAAACCACTTGGACATGCATTGACTTGTGAGCTTCACTAAGCATTAAAGCACTGCTTAAAACTACACATGTGTTTCAAGGCTCTCCTCTATTTCAACAGAATTCTGCTCACGGTTAAGTTTCTACTGCACAGAAACATTAGAGACTACTACAAATTTCCTAAAGCCAAAGGATTCAGTCACAGAGTTCTGAGGAAGGTGAAATTCCTTGAAGAATCTCTTAAGCCAATCTCTGCTAATGCATAACAACAAAAATAACAGCTCAGCCACTTAAAACATACTGTAAAAAAAGGTATTCCTCAGGTAAGCTATTTGGATCTACAAGAAGATAAACATTCTTTTTGACAAAATTAAATAAGGACATATATATATATTTCTKCACATGCATTTGTAAATAGTTGTAATTTCATTGGTAACATAYGCAGTCTGAATAAATTTACCAGCACTTTGCAGAATTAGATCCTCTGCCTAAACAATGCAAAATTTTGGTTAAATCAGTTTATCTGAGTATATCACAGCAGGGATCCTTGAAAATTTAAGTCAGAAACTGGAATAACAMACACAATACATTCTTCTTCAGGAAGGCTCTTATATAAATCACTCCAACTGCCACATGGAAAGCATGCAAGGATAAGTATTGCTAAGAAGGCCGTTTATCACATCAAGGATAAATTCACCTTCCTGTCTCTGGAGCTTTTCACAGAAATATATCAGTCTGACCTTTCTTTTTTCTTTTTCTTTTTTTTTCCCCTGTAGTGAGAAAATCCTGGTATTTTATGTTAATTCAAAGTGCCTCCAGTGAGAAGAATACAAATTATGTCACTGTGACAATAAGATTAAAACCAGAAGAATTAAAGCATTTATAAATAGAAGAACATACCTACCTACTACATTTTTTTCAGATTCTATGAAGTTTTAGACTGGCCTGATTTCCTTTGTGTCCTTCATTACATGATCTGCTATAATTTTTAACAGCTATTCCTTCAGACAAATCTTTTCCTTATGGGACTGATGCTTGACTTCACAAAGAAAGTGCTCTGTCTCTTTTATTCATACCCTCCTTGTAAACAGCTACAGTTTCCATAGGATACAAAACACAATAGATATATATAGCATGAAAAAAAAAAAACAAAACCCAGAGTAGAATTCTGGGGTCACAGTAGTCTATTTTATAGTGAATATGCTGTTTAGGTGGAAATATTCCATTGAAAAGCATTGGTGTTATTTTAATTAAAAATGTAGAACTGTACTGATTCAGGATGGTGAGCCTCTTCTGCAGTCTAGGAATGATTTGGGGTTTTTTGCTATTCTAGTTGGAGCTTGGGTACGTAACTCACTTCCAAMCACACAGGCTCCCTCAAGGACAACCTTTGTCTGGTGAAAAAGTATAGTTGATGATTTGCTGATTTTGATGCCAAGTTTAATTTTTCTGAATGGTAGCACAATAGTTGAAGAGAACAAAAAAGCATAGAAAAGATTCAGGGCTGGACAGTTGGTTAAGGGAAGATATTGTAAAGAGGGTACTCTCAGGATACACACATCCCTCATTTTATTGAGTTTATTCTCAGTATCATTTCTGCACAGCTTTTGAGAATAACTGTTTTCTATATTTAAAAATAAATAAATCAGTATTCCAAATTGACCTCAATAGAGAAAGGCTGCCCTGAACATTGTTCTCTTTAAGGTTTTAGTTACAGTAGCAGTTGAACACTATGCCCTGGTCTAACCCAAAGATGCCTGTAGCTCCCTTGCTGTCTTTGCAGCAACTCAAGTACTTCAGTTAATGAACGTGAGTCAGTGTTCCACTGAATGAGCTCAAAGACCTGGCAATCTTACAGGATTGGCTACTGTACAATAATCCAAGAGCCATTAATCTTAAAAGAAAATCTGTGTTGATTTCAGTACTTTTGGAATGCCATGCGTCTGAATATTTGAGAGAAAATCACCTGTTAACGCTCTTGCACATCTTCAGAGTTGCTCTTTTTCTGACTCGGGTAAAAGTCATTTGCTGCAGCTGCGTTATTTGATGTTTCAGTTCCTCTACCTTATTAACAGCTTTGCTTTGGGAATTCAACATAGTTTCCATATCTTCTGTGGTACCAAAATTTGCATTTCAAGTAGCATAAATAACTTGCAGAATTTCCAATATCAGTGACTACTAGCATGGGAAATACTTTAGAATGACATTAATGATCATCTTACCTGCTTTATGCAGGATTTCCTTTCTTGATGTGCATTTCTCTCTTTGACTACACTTAGATCTTCTTCCTCTTTCTTCACTATACATTTTGATCCCAGAATTTCTTGCTGTGTTCACTTAAGCTACACTTCCAAGTCCTAAAATATGCATGACAGTACTTTCCCGTTTATTACACATTTTCTTGTAATAAGAAATATATGGTTATTTTCTCTCTTCGTGTTCCATGATATAAATCTTTCACCTACAGAGCTGATTTAAATGCATTCCTTGCTCTTCCATCCACTTAAACTGTCTCTGCTGCCAGAATATTTGTGATGTGGAGCCTTTCCCTCACAGGTAGTTGGCATTATTGTAAAGTGAATATCCATCATTAGTTACCATCTAAAAGATGCCTGATATTATCCTAAACCTGAAATAGTTTATACTTCCATTAGCTTCATGACAACTTATGCCAAAAGTTAATGTTCGTTAGGGTCTTTTTCAGTTGCTCAAATACAACAATTCGTAACATAACCCATAACACAGATGCCTAAACTCAGAAAGAATTGGGTCCTACAGACTTTGCTGGGAATTGGCTTTCCATAACTAAAAGAAAAAAAAATCATATTTAATGTTTTATTTCTGGAGGTTCTAGTTTTAGCTTTAGATGTCTAGCATAATACTGCAATACTAACTCATATTAAATTGCCATTTGTTCCTATATGAATGTCGAATAAAACCTCGGGGKTTTATCAACTTGCATTTAACACTCTGTAGCTCAACACTTCCCAGCAAGCTTTTTACTTCTACCTCTGGCATATATGCCAGAATTCTTTTAAAACTAGACTGAACAGATCAGACTTAATGACTTGCCAATCTTTGTATTCTCTGTTCTATGGTAATAAATGTGCACTAATGTAATGCCTTTCATCTAAACATCTCACACCTCTTGGTATACACTAAAGAGAAAACAAAAATTCATCTTGTTTCAACCAGAGTCCTTTCTGCTTTCAAGACTTATAAGTTTTTCCTGCTAGTGTTTACTAATGCTCTGAGGTATTTCTGACTAAAAAGATGTTGCTATTTCCCTGTCTTCCATTGTCCACAGAAGCCCAAAAAAGATGTAGCATTCAATGATGGCACAAAAAATAGTCAGTTTAGAAAGGAGAAACTTCAACCTTTTTTTTATTTAAACTATAAAGAAACAGGAAATAACATCATATCTAACTCTTTCCCTCCTTCCAGATTTATCCTAGTCTGGGGTATCTCTTCAAAGATTCAAGGTAATATGCTCTGGTGGTGTGTAAATCAGCCTCATTCCACACACATAAAGGATTTGAAATGTACGAGTTGAACATATGTCCTTCAGAAAACATTTCAGTTTTATCCAGATAATACTGAATTTAGAAAATAAGTTGCTTATGATATCATCCTCTTATTTCAACTTCCTATCATATTTTGCATGATTCATTCCTAAATGACTGCATTTCTTATACAATAAATCAGAAGAAGAAACCATGTGCATAAGTTTTCATGTGTTTATTCTTTATTTTCCCTGAATGTTACCTGAAGTAGCCACAAAAAAAAAAATCAAGATCTTCCTTCCCTCTTCCCCTGTACCACTTCCAACTTCTACAGAGCCAGGATACCTTTTATTATTGAAACAGATATTGCAGATTGACTCAATTTAAAAAAGGGGCTTATCTGCCTCTCTGCCACTCATTGTATCATCTCCATTTTTCCGTAAAAGAGGTTCTGCTACAGATCTACACATTGAGACAATGAAAACTGAATAATGTTGGGGAAGGGGTATTCAATTCATCCTCTGATCTTGTGAAACAAAAAGGCAGTGACTGTACTGAACTCCCTCTAAGAACATMCTCAAAGAAGTAGCTCAGAACTCTGCATCATCAGCAAAATGATAGTGGCAAGCAAGATGTGAGGGCAGATGGTGAAAACAGTTAAGAGCTGTTTTGGAAGAACACAGCTGACTGGACTGACCCTGCTCTCTGTAGAATTCTGGGGCTTTCTTCCTCTAAAGGAAGAAAATATTCTTTTCCATTAGGGAACATTTTTTGTTATTCTGTAATATTCCAAGTCTAGACCTTCAAGATGTTTTCTTATTTAATATGCTAGATAGCTGCCAGAGGGCTGGGGACATGTCKGGTATGTGATTTTATGTTATACAAAGTACCAAAAGTATCAGAAGGAAGCTGAACTGTCGAGCATGGAGCATGACTGGGTCCTTCATCTTCAGCACAGTCCATCAGCATCTTTCCTGCATTCTRACCTTATGTACCAAAAAGAGCTGTTTGGCAGATTGCCCACATGCCAGKCTCTGAAACTGCACCTCACACATGAAGCAACCARGAAGGGGCTGCAGAGCTGTGCTGCAAATGTATGAGACACACAGCAGTGAGGGTAGGCAGGCAAAGTGTGAGGTGAGAACTAAATGAGAACAAATTCCTGGCAAAAGTCTCACAGTTCAGCACACAAAACTTCACAAGTGTAACGGACACYTCATTAAATGGCACTTGGTACAAGYCACTTCTCTAAGAGTCATACAGAGCACTTGATTCCTAAACTGCCAGCTCAGGTCTCTTATCTAAACMCATTCAGATCCATGCACCAAGCTATTACCACAAGAGAAAAGGAGAATGTATTCTGTAAACACTCATTGGTAGCTGTAGTGCCTGCCTGCTGTTCTCTTCACATTTCTCGGCAGGACAAGTAAAACTCTGTTCAGCCAACRGATACATTTTACCTCACTCCCCCCTCAAGGAATACAAAGTCTAGTGTTCAAAATGTTCTAATGAGTTTCTAATTATCTTAACTCTTTCCTTAAAGCTGTCAGCACTATATCCTTCCTATTTCCATTCTAAGCCTCTAAAACTGCTTTACTGCTTAAAAAGCATTTGAATCAACATGATTTTTAAAAGACTTTCCTCTCCCAAATTTTAAAGAATTGATAATTTYCACTTTCTCAGGCAGAGATGGGGATTACATTCTCATACTCTACCTGTATTCTCTCCTTCAGCTTCTGGGAATGCTTCTTCCTCTCATTTATYTTCTGGCTTTTCTCCTCTAGGTCTGCCTCCAGCTTCTTTACCTGCTGCAGCAAAAAACCTTCCTCAATCTCTGAGCTTTTCTTTTGCTCTGTTTCTCTTTGCTGACAATTCATTTCTGTAACAGATTGTTGCATAGCTCTTTTCRAAGTCTCTCTTTCTGTCTCATAAGGGGCTTGCAGTTTACTTATTTTCTGAGTATGTTCTTCAGCTGTTTTCTGGTTYTCGCTCTTCAGGTTCACTGTCTCATTTATTACAGTGTGTCTTTCTACACTACATTTTTCATCTAAATTTACTTTTTTATCTAGATTTTCTCTTCTAAATGCTTTACATTCATTTAGCAGTCCAYCAAATTCCTGATTTAAATGCAGAAGCTTGTTTTCAAAGCTTGCATTGCTACCTACTGTGCCTGTAGAAAGGCCCATSTGAGCTTGTTTCACTTCTGTTCTTGACTCCTTCTCTTCTGCTTGCTTTTTACACAGTATTAACTCTGCCAAGGCTTCTTCCTTCAATCTCTTATGTTGTTCTACTGCAATTTCAAGGGTCTGAATATGCTTTCTCAGTAACTGTTCTTCTTCAATTTTGCTTTTACACTGGAGAATCGTTTCCCTTGTCTCAGCAAGAATATTCTGAATTTCTTCTTCATGAGCCTCTCTCAGAGCCTGTATACTGTCCTCATGTTCATCATTCTTAGTGTTCAGGGCATATATCACCTATCAACAAGAAAAAATAGAAGAATAAAGGATCTAGTGAACAGTAGCCATTAATCCAGTTACTATATTTATCAAGKTGTTAAACACTAAAAGAGAATACTGCCATAGATTAGTATTTTTGTAGTGGTGGTGGTTCTTTGTGTTGTTTTGGGKTTTTTTTTTGTGCAGTAGRAACAGAAGAGACARTTATAAACCTTATAAGAAAGGAAGAGAATAGCATGACAATTTTTTTTTCACTTTTTGTCAGAAATTTCTTTTATTCTAGGAAAGTTGTCATTTCATGCCACTAGTTTGATCTCTAATACAAGGAAGGACATTGAGTCCCTTCTTTAACTGACTCTTTATTTGTTGYCCAGTTCATCTGACCTTCAGTGTACCAGGTCTACTACTGGCCTGCTACTGAAGGCCACATTGTCTTTGGCATGATGAAGTGCTGGGGACCAGTACTGGCAAATCTGAACAGTGAAACCTGAGATCCTGGCATCCAGTTCATATAGACCAAAATCACTTCATGATGTAAATGAAAGTATGAAAAGTGGATTAAATTCTGTACTCCTGACTTCAGCCAAAACACCAGGAAAATGCACTCCTGGAAGTCACATTCTTGACAAGTCAGTTCGATCAGCATGTCAGGGTAGGTATTACTCCACTGCAATCATCTTTTGGTTTGATTCTGAGATGTGTTCAGGCAATGAACACAATCAAGTGTTTCAGGATTTTGCTCATATCGTTTCAGTAACAGCTATAAATCTCAAAACAGGTTTTAACAGATTCAAGCCACACTCTTATGACAATAAGTAATTTTTCTAAACAACAGATTTGAGCCCTTTAATGCTTTATTTTGTTTTACAAAATGCAGAATAATAATTCTCATGACTGTAAGACATTATTAACTTAAGCAGACTTCATCTGTTATCATAACATACACCAAATAGTTCTYACACAAGCTGTTGTACAAACACTGTACTATTGTTTGAAAAAGAAAACGCTATTGGAAGCCAACAGTAGCCTGAAATGAAGAGCAAAGGTCCATGTTAAATTTACAGGACAGCTACATAAAATATATTTGTACAACATGGTAACTGCCTTGAAAAGACACATGCTTGCCTTAGCAGACCTCCACTAGGACATATGGGGGCTAATCCAGTTTCTACTAAATAAAGTTATCTAACTCAAGGAGAGCAAGACATTGTGTATGAAAGTTTTCCATTTGCTTGGTTGGTTAGGGTTTTTTTTAGGGACAATTTACTGTCCTAAAAAACTAGGTTTGGAATTTGTACACGAGTTTTGACAGATATTTTCAGTCTGGTCTGAGTCAACAGCAGTTAATCAAAAGATCCTCAGACARTATTTGAGAAAATCATAGCCCTGAGTAAGTAAATAAATACAGAAACAAGTTAACAACTAGTACTTTAATTATACTAGAATTTTGGCCCTGTAATCTTCAAGTCTTCATCAGGGCAAGTCTCAGTTGAGAGTCCAGCAAGTGCTTTGACCACAATAAGCACCACAAGCCTGCRGTATGTTGTATAAGCCCTGAAGATGTCTTCTATTGAATTTGCTTATCTATGTCCAACCGCTTCTCATGCTATCTGTGCATGAATAACTTATTGAATTTCAATCAACCATAAATGAAAGCAAACACACAAATACATCTTGTGTGTAGTCAATTTCCTCCCTGGCAGTAATGAATTAGGCACAGAGGCCTTAAAACATCAAAAATGCAAAATGTGGTCTGGATACATTTCTGGATAAACATTTGACAAAAGAGAATAGCAGTATCATATTTCAGAAGAGTATCAGATAAGAAGTTATTGCCTGGTTTTAGATAGGTATATTTTTGGGCTTAAGATTACAAGCCGTTAATTCTTCTCTGTTACTTTTAATCATGTTCCTTTGAAATGGAAATAATTAGAGTATATTGAGCAGATTTCTTCATCTCATTAACATTCCATGAACAGTTCTTATCTATTCAGGAGACAGACATAAAAACTCCAAGAGGATTAATCTTGCCTACATTTTCCACACTAAATGACCAGTAATTAGGTTGGGCGATTCTTCAGTTAACTAGGGCAGATGCTGATGATCATATTTCTGTATTTCATTCCGCCAATAAAGCAAAAAATTAACATCCAGCCTTTATAGCGCAGACTTTCACTTCAATTTATCTAGTAAATCATCATTGCCTGCCTCATATTATGTTGTTTTCRGGCTGATAGTGGAATTTGGATTCCTCTAAAATCTGACTTAAATCATACACGTTTCCTAAATTCTGCTATGCATTAGATAACCAGCAGCACCTTAGGGGAGTTATCTAAAAGAATGGAAGAAATTGGCCTCACTGCCCAATCTATTATTGCCACACTTCTGTTCAATATTGGCTAGAACCACAATGAAGCATTTGACTAGCATGCCCTTAAATTTGATCTTCAAGCTTGAGTGCTGGAACTGACTTCTCCATATCTTAACCTTCTTAAAAGATTTAATTTTGAGACAGCTGCTGCTCTGTACTTTATGAAATTTAAGACCTTCACACATGCCTTTCACTCCCTACTGAATATAGCTACTATATTCCTATTCCAGATACAAATACCTCATTTTGAAGACTGGAGTCATATGAGTTGAATATGGGGCTTTATGTGCTGAAAGGAAAAATACTGAAAAATTATTTCAGCACCTGTACCTTGTGAGTGTACAGTAATATGGATCAACCCCTTAATGGTTGTGTTGATAAACAGCTTTTAAAAAGCAGCTCTAAAGTTGACCATTTGACAGTAMAGAGTAGCATTCAAACAAAAAAAGCATCTCATTGCTCTTGGAGTTGCTACCATAATAGCAATGGCTACTGCCTCCTTAAAATTCTCCAAACCCAAATGGATTGGGAAATYTTGTACTGAATTAATAGCACCTGAGTGTTGTATGGTATATTATTAAAAASACTATTACACACATACATTTGAATATTAACAGTGCAGTGAATGTGAACACATCTTATTTGTCCTATTTTATCCGCCAAATGCTATAAATCTAAATAGCATTTTCTGTCTTATTTTCCTTATGGTGATATAAAAAAAAAAAAAAAAAAAAAAAAAAAAAAAAGAAGAAAATATTCAACTGCACCTCAAGAGTGGGGACAAAGCCAAAGCATTCAAACCAAAAATGACTGTCTTCCTATAGCAGTGTTTAATATTACTCTTAGAAGAATTTGACTGTCACAATGAAAAATCTGGTTCCAGCAAGTTGTTTTTCTTGCTGAATAAGAAGTAAGACAATTTGGTATGGAAGCTGAGGAATGAGGATGCTAAGATGAATCAAATAAAAGCAAAATATCTTAAATGTTCTTCCTTCAGGCCCAAGCTAGTAGACACAAAACCTTTATGACAGAAAAAAAAGAGTTAAAACAAAAAAAAAGCCCAAGAAACAAATGAATGAGAAAAGGCCTGGGATGGGGGTGCCAAACAGGGTACTCCTGGCAGCACTCTAAACAAAGCAGRGAAGCAGACAAACTTCTGTTACTAAGGAAGAAATTTGCTAGAGGGTCACTGATGTCTGGTGACTCAGTGCATCATCTCCTTTTCCCTAGTAGCAGCAGGTGTATTGSTTACTTTGAAATCATCCTGTCTACCTGACAACCAGACCAGAGCAGAGTGAGTTATTTATAAACATGCCAGCCTTGAATGGTGTCTCCAAAAGCAAAGGACAGAGAAATTAACAAAAATAACTTCAGTTACTTAAACAAATGGCTCCCCTATTCCTTGGTGTCCTCTGTCCCCAGCTCCACAGTTTYTCTAGAAAATAAACCCACCTCCCACAATTTATTAATTAATACTCTGACAAGTCTCTCATGTTCTAACACTGAAGAATAAKGTCTTTCAATTAAATTACACACCTAGGCTATGATTACCTACAGTGCTGATCCATTTTTACACCTATGCTGATTTCAAACATAGGTGATATATGATACATGATACTTCTCCAAGGTATTACTTGGGACCTAAAGAATTAAGTCTCATCTCTCTCTTTGCATTCTCTGTGGTTCCCTGAAAGCACAGGAAGAATTTCATGAATCCAAATATCTACAGCAACTGTTGATAACAAAAACACGTCTAGCGTTGTGTAGTATGAGAGAAGCTTTAAAAAAATTGTTACTCCAAACATCCCAAAGTGTTTCAGAAGAGTTGTATTGCTTGTATCCTGCACCAGAATGAATCCTAATTACTATAATAAAAAAGGATTTTGCTCCAGGGAGTTCTCTTCTATTTCAGGGTGAATCTATGGGCTTTCATCCATGATAATACTCTTCCAGGGTCTGAAGGACTGTAAAATGGTGCAGCACAGAGGTAGCCAATGGCATTGTATGAAATCTCCCCATGTTTAGATGATCTGATGGCTCTTGGGCAGAAGCTCATGGTGCAATRTCTCTCACCCCTGAACGTCCCATAGACTTGCCTTATCTAGAAATTCACTGTAGAAGAGGGCTCAAAATTTGTTCTTAATATGTTCAAATTTTGCCCCTTTTCCTACATGTATCTTATATTGTTAGTCAGTCTAAAAATTACAGTGAAATACTAAAATGCATCAAGAAAGCATAAGCATAAAATGTCTACAGGTTTCTAATATATTTTGGCATGATTTTTGCCTCTTACTGCCACTCATTTTGTTTCCCCCYATTTAGTTTAAATTTAATACAAGAAAATAACACAGGTACTTTTTACTTTTTTTATCTTTCTGTGAATGTAGAGTAATACTGAACATAGAAAGTGATGTCTTATGTATTGCACTTAATGTCTCAGGTGTGATTTAACATAAAATGAGCCCTCACCTAAATTTTAATAAAGAGACGTTCCGCTGTCCCTCATTTGTATTGTACAGTTTCTAACAAACTAAGCAGAATAACTGCCAGGCAATTTAAGAATTAGAAAGGTAAAACTATATTGCAAGAATAATTCCACAAGCAGAGCAGGTGCTCAAAAAGGCWCCAATAATTTCAACAAAGCAAA